ATATATATAAATTGTTTGGAAACATGTATCTAAGAACAATTAATATTGTATTTAATAATTAAAAATGTTTAGAAAATTAGATATATAATAATTAAGTAATAAATATGTTTAGGAAAGTAAATATATTTTGTTCATTAAAAATAAAAGAGTTTTATAATAAAATATAAGTTTTAAATATTTTGTAAAAAAGAATCCGGTCAATATTGACTTTATTTTTTAATGATGTGATTTCTTCTTCTTCACCGCTGATATGTGTATATATATATATATATATATATATATATATATATATATATATATATATATATATATATATATATAGAATTACATTAAGGTAAAAACACTTGTTAAAATACAAACCTGTGGACAATTTGGGACCGTTGGATGGTGGGATTGGATGGTCCAGATTGTGGCTGATTATTTCGCGCGTGCGGGGGTTTTTACGTTAAGTGTTTTTTTTTTTTTTTTGGTAGGGGGTTATTTGTGGTATTTTGGTTATCTTTGAGACCTAGTCAAATTAGTCTAGCTATTCCTCTTCCAAGCGCAACAGCTCTCTATTCTGTCTCTTCGCTTCTAGTTCTCGGCCCGAGCGTGATTTACGTCTCCAGGCTTCGCGTCCATCTCGGTTTCATCTCTTGCGTTTCACTTCCACGTTGCAATGGTGGAAGGTGGGGACCGCGGGGACCACCGGTCCGAGGTGCCAGCCGAGGTGCGTATTGTCGCCATATTTTTATTTTACTTTTTTGGTTTTCTGTTTGTTCGTCGTGTTTGTCTTGTTTTGTCGGGGGATTCCTTCATTCTACGCATGGTGTGTGTTTTTTTTTGTGGTGACGGTGGGTTTCGCTTGATTTATGGGCGATATTGGGGCTAGGGTTTCTGATTTTGGGATTTTTTTTTGTATGTATTTGTCTGTTTAATTGCTTTCTGTGGTTGATTATTATGCATGTATTAGGTGTGAGAATGGTGTCTATGGTCTTTTTTTTTTTTTTTTTTTCCAGTGTCTGGTGTCTGTGTTTTTTTTTTTTTTTTTTTTTTTTTTTTTTTTTTTTGTCTTTAAAGTTCCATTTGCTTTAATAAAATTTATTTTCATTTTAAGATAAATTAGTTGCTCTAGTGAAAAAGATAATGTAGTGCTATGCATCCATTCCTGTAAAGTTATAATATGTTTAGTGGTGTTAATGTATAAAATTGTTTGCTGTTATGAAAATGTGTTCGTTTAAGTAGAAAGAAAATAAAATAAAGAATAGGAAGATAATGGTAGAAAAGAACATATCAATGAATCATTATATATGAAGATGAAGAAGAATCAAAATCCAGTATGTTTTTTAATTTCTTGATTTTTCTTCATTTAGATTGTTAGTTGTGATAGAAACATTTGCTTATCAACTGCATTTGCTTAAATTGATTTTTCTTCATTTCCTTTTTCTAGTCTAGTTCTATAATTACTTATAAACTTAGGTTGACCACTTTGACTGTTGAAGCTAAGCATGTAAATTTAATTGCCAGGTATGGCTATTTCATTTACGATGATGATTTAGGTTACTATGATTGCTAGCTTGAAACAGGTTCTATTTAGATTTGTTTTCCCATTAAAATATGTGTTCAGTACTGTTATAGTTTCCGAGTTCTTATTTAGTATTGATTGTATGTTTTTCAAGTTCTTTGGTCTGATGTCGTGAGTTTTTGTCTCATTTATATTTGTGAATTTGTTTGTGCAAATGTGTGCACTCTATAGTCTATCCAGATTTGTTTTCATGTTCTTGTTTCCGAGTTCTAATTAAGTTTTGATTGTATGTTTTAATTTACAAGTTCTTTGGTCTTATGTTGTGAATTTTTGTCTTAGTTAGATCTGTGCATTTATTTGTGCGAATGTGTGCACTCTACGAAGCTTTGTGTAGTCCTATTTCCTTGCAAACATGTTGTTTGTACTGTGCACAGGTATTTAATTGTGTTTAGCGCAGTATTGATTTGTTTGTGGTGTTTTTTTTTAGTATTCAAAGTGGGATTGCAGCCTTGTGAAGGGGGACTCTAGTATGCTGCACAAGCTTAGGCTACAGTATACGAAGGAACTGGCGGTGTCCAAGTTCAATGAGCACAAATCACAGAACCTATGTCGGGCGTACCAGTGTATCTCTGCTCCTTTTCCTACGATGTAAACTTGTGGTTGCCGCTAGGGTCTTTTTGCATTATCTTACTTGCAGTTGTATAGACTAGTTATTCCTCATATTTTTTCCTGACTGGTTTTTGATTACATGTCGTGGGATAGTACTGGCATTTAATATTTATATTCTCGTTATCCTCTATCGTGGTTTATACTGTTCAGATCCCGTGTGCACATACGATTGAAACTGTGTGCTTACGTATTTTGTATTGTGATCTGGTACGAATGCGTTGAGTGTGGGTGCATACGATTTCTACAGTAGATGAACACATTCATCCTAGGCCTAGTTAAATCACAAGGTGGTCTTCACTACTTCTTCCTAAATCGAAATTCCTAAGGTTAGACTAGCCTCGTTATGAATTCTAGGACGACGTAAACGTAGCACATCGCACAATAACTACACTCCAACCCTTTGCCTTGCTAACAATAGAATCAGTAAATGTTCATTTATCATAATGTTACAGACCACATCAATGCACAAATCCATGGTGTTTTGTCTTATTTATATCTGAGAGTATGATATTAAACTAGCTAATTGTTTTTCATATTGATATGGAGTAGTCAAAATTAGACATTTGTACGTGGAAAGTTGAAGTAAAAGCTAGTCGCTTAAACTGTTACGTGGAAAGTTGAAGTAAAAGCTAGTTGCTTAAACTGGTATGACCGAATACACACATATATACTACCATGTGCACTAGCCGACACAACTTAGTTAATTTCATTTGTGGATAATAACTCGATAAATCTCACGGACGTGGCTAGTTGAGTATTAGCTTGTACTTTTTGTAAATGGATACGTGTGTGCTCAGATGCGGAAATCTGGGTGCACGCACAACACTATAAAATTCAAAGAAGTGCCTATGTCACTATTAGCCTGTAGGGTTAGTAAATATATACATGCGTGCACATTGGTGTTAAAATGTGTGCGTAGTTAGCTAAATAAATTTCAACCATGGACATTAACTAAATCAATTTTACATAAGTGACTATTGGACGATTAACTTGTAGGCTTAGTTTATAAACACATGTGTGCACAGTTGTGTTAACTGGGTGCATGGATAAAAATTAGATAAATTTCGCAAAAGCGACTAGCTCAATATTGTCCTATACGCTTAGTTTTTAAATACATGAGTGCTCATTGGCTTTAATTATGTGCGCACACAACTAAATAAATTTCATCCATCGGTAAAAACTAAATAAATTTCACTAGCGTGAGTAGTTCACTATTAGCTTATAGGCTTAGTAATTACAAACGGGTGTGCACATTGGCGTCAAACAGTGTGCATAGCTCAACTAAATAAATGCCAACCATGGATAAAATTAAAAACAGACTAGTTCAATATTATCGTATGCGCTAACTTTTTAAATACGTGGGTGTACATTGGCGTTAAATAGTATGGGTGCACTACTAAATACATTTCAACCATGGTAAAAACTAAATAAATTTCACAATATTGAGTACTTTAGTATTAGCTTATAGGCTTAGTAATAAAAAACGTGTGCACAATGTTGATAAACTGTGTGCATAACTCAACAAATTAACTACCAACGATGGGTAAAATTCAACTCCTTTCTGTATTCAACTTCAATTCCTTAATTATAGCATTAATATACAAAATAGAATTCATTATTCAAATCCTGTCAGTATTCAACTTCCTTAATTATAGAATTAATATACAAAATAGAATTCGTTCCTTATTTACATTGTGGCTGCATTCACATTATTGCCCTTCATTTAAGTAATTAACAATCCGTGTGTCAGAATTAAGACTCCATCTAATCCATTCATCTTATCACATCCTATGGCTAGATGTTTTCCACACGTTTGTATTTTAAGGGGGTTTGCATGTGAATGCAACCCTATATATATATATATATATATATATATATATATATATATATATATATATATATATATATATATATATATATATATATATATATATACATCGGGGATGCATCAAATATTAATCCTTTTTAATATACTAAAAGTATATTATTTGTGTACTTAATATACATTATACAAAATAATAACTTTCAATTAGGGATGGCAATGAGGCGGGGGCGGGGGTGGAGACGGGGACTATACTCCCCGTCCCCGCAGGGAAATTTCAAAAATTTCCTGTCCCCGTCCCCGATCCCCGAAATTTTCCCCCATCCCCGTCTCCATCCCCTACGGGAGCGGGGATCCCCGATGGGGACGGGGCACATTGCCATCCCTACTTTCAATACTCAAATAAGAGTTAATTTTACCGAAGGTCCTTTGTCTTTGGTAGCAATTCCAAATTTAGTCCCAAATTATTGTTTTTACCATTTTACACTCCAGACTATTGTTTTTGGACACTTTTAGTCCTTCTCGTGATTTTTTTAATTTTTAGTAAGGGCATTTTTATCTTTTCATATTTTTTTTTGTTATTTTTACAATTTCAACCAGTTTAATTGGTTTAGAATTTTAGGTAACCTATGATTTGTAGTAACTATATTTTTCAATCAATTTTTAATTAGTAAAGTCTTAAACCAATTAAACTAGTTGAAATCGGAAAAATAACAAAAGAAAATATGAATAGACAAAAATGTCCTTATTAAAAATAAAAATAATTATAAAATTATAAAAATGACTAAAAATGTCCAAAAAAAAAATAATCTGGAGTGTAAAATGACAAAAACAATAGTCTTAAAATAAATTTTGAATTTCCACTAAACACAAAAATTTTTTGATAAAATTAACTGACTCAAATAATGTAATTTTTTTTGAATACAATATATATTTTTATTTTTAATATAAAAGTACATTATTGATAGTATGATCCACAGCTGATCCCCCAGCTACAAGCCTACAGGCTACAACCCACCCATGTGAAACCCTAAACACCCATTCTTCATTCTTCTGAAGCCTTGATCTCTACCTTCCGCTCCTCCACATCCTATCTCTCTCAGCCGCACCAAATCCATCATTTCTGGTCTTCTTCTAGCACCCTTCTCCCCCACCAGCCGCACCCTTGAGATCCTTCATTCTTGGAAGCTCCTGATCCCTGAAGAGAAAGCAAAATACACTACTTCATGGTCGTTATTATGATTTTACCCATTATTTTGTAGTTTGAACATTTTGATGATTTTACCTTGGCTTCTACCTGGGAAAGGTATTGTGTTTAAAAAAAAATTATTTAATAATTTTCATTGCGGAATGTTCTTAGTCTGGTTCTGTTGTGAGGAGTTGACGAATCCAGCTTTACTTTGATACAGCCATACAAGTTCATATCTGAGATAGAGGCAGTTTGCAGTCAATGGTTTGCAGATTTCCCTAGAAATTTATTGGTATCATTATTATAGCTATAGTTTTTGACCTTTCCATTGGGCCTGCTTATTGAAGACTTGTTCTGTTAATTGCGGAGTAATAGTCATCTAAATCAACTCTACAAAGATGATGTCTTGCTGCTGCTAGGTTGTTGGATTTAGTTAAGGTAATTTTTATCAATATTTTTACTTTTTAGAGTGGTAAATTTTATTTATGTTTTTCCATAGTAATTGGCAATTTTGTAATTAGGTGAAAGATGCTAAAGCCTTTGTGCCTAGATAAGCACAATGTGTTCAAACTGATATTATTACATATCCATGATATTATGATTGTAAAATCATGCATACAATCTTTGCATGTGTTTGAAACAATATAACTACTGGTTTTCTTGTCAAAGCATCCATAACATGTCATTTTATATTTATTACACTATTTGTGTAGACTAACAACTCTTTCTTATCAAGTGTTATGCAAATGATGAAACTAATTTCTTATGCCATTTAAAAAAAAAAATTGAATGTCTTTCCAAAAAAAACCAGATATATTGACAATTGTGCATTAGAATGACATACTTTTACTTTAATAATTTATATTTACAGGGCAATCAAAATTTAAATCCCTCAAGTGTTAAATGGTTGTTTTTACAACATTGTATTACATCTACTATATTTATTATTTTTTATTGATATGTTCTAATTTCTACGTTTTATTTTGAATTTTGTGATGTTACTGATTGTGCATGAATTTGAGCTGTGATGTGATCTTTATTTTTCAGTCTTTTTGCAAATTCTGACTTTGTGTTCCACTTTGGTGAGAAGCTACATTTGGTGAAAATGGATTGAAACTTACTGTTTTTGGGAGGATCACCCAAGTAATTGTGGGTTTATTTAATTTTTTATCTTGGTTTATTATTGTGAAGCTATAATCTACTGATTATTTAAGTTCAAACACTTCAAATAAAATTTTCCTCCAAATATGAGCATGTAGGTTGTTAAAAGTTGATTTATGAGTGAGTTGCTTAAACTTCATTTGACTGATAATTGATGTTTCCCTTTTAAATGAAGCTATTTCTCTAAAGAGCTGGTTTAATCCAATGGTTAATTTTTTTTTTCCCAAACATATATGATTACAATATCATTGGGAATGTAAGAATAGAGAAGAACTATCTCAAGTATTGTTGAATATATCTCATTTATCTAAACTTGGGGGGAAATGGGAGATGATTGTGTGGCGTGGAAATGTTGGGAAACCCAATTGAAGTATATGAACTTCCCATGGGTAGTTTTTTTTAGGATTTATCAAATGATATGTAGTTATACTCGCTAGTGCATTGTGTGTTTACGGACTAGAGACAATCCATAGTTCGGTTTTTGGCAAATTATGTTAGATGTTGACATTATGGTCACATACTAAGATACAATCCATAGTTTGTTTTTTGGCAAATTATGTTAGATATTGACAGTATGGTCACATACTAAGATAACTGTCAACTGATTTATCAACGAATGTTAACAATTTAATTGGAGCGTGATCACATAATTAGCAAGCATCATATGGTCGGTTTATGTGGAGTCTTGTTCTTATCTTGCTGAATATTTTAAATCAGAAAATATCATGGTAATTGTTTTAACTAATTTCTATCACATGCTTCTTCTGATTGCAGACATTTAACCAGTTCCCCGAAATCCAAATACTGCTTGATTTCCACTGTGTCGTTTTTCTATTCATTTTACTGGTTGATTCCTTTATATTCAAACCTTGTTGAAGGCATGACAATCTCTCAAACACTTTGACAAGGAAGGAAATATGTCAATTTCTGAGATCCATTATGCATTCTGAAATTTAGCACCTTAACAACTGCATCGAATCTTATAAAGTGCTTCATTGAATCGTTTGGTCACTGATGTGGCCTTTATATGTTCTCTTCAACAAGTTTTTGGGACCGCAAGAGGAAAATGTTCATGGACCGGATGTGAGCAATTTGAGTTTTATCAGTTCCTTCCCTTTTATTCAGTCACCAAATGGAAATGTTTACAACAGTATGGTTGTCTCCCGATCATTTTCTGTTGAGGTGAGTCAAATTGTTCATTCACATTTCATTAATTGTTGCTTCTGCTTTAGCAGATTTGCTGGTTCAAATGTTGGAGACATAGTTATGTTTGTAAATGTCGTAATTACACTTGTGGCTTGTGTTCTGGCTCTAGGTTCCGCACATCAACCAACTACATACATGGGATTGCGGTCTTGCCTGTGTTGCGATGGTTTTGAGAACTCTGGGCTTCAGTGATTGTAATATTGCGGAACTAGAAGAGCTATGTTGCACGAGAAGGTTATAAGCTTCGACTATCGAATGATACTTAGCATTCTTTTTGTCATTATGGGGAACCCCTTCTGCCTTTATTTGGAGCTTAATAATTGTAATTTTGATAGATATAAAGAATCTTTCTGCATGATTTGTTGATGCCTTTTTTTGGTTGCAGCATTTGGACAGTTGATCTCGCATATTTGTTGCAGAAATATTCTGTTGATTTTTACTACTTTACAGTCACACTAGGAGCAAACCCCAAGTTTAGTGTGGAGACGTTTTACAAGGTAATTCTCCCCTCCATAACGGGTTTTGTGAGTGCCGCTATATTTTCTAAATGCTGCAGATTGGTCAGCTTTGAACTATAGTGTCATTACAGATTACATCTTGTAAAAATCCCTTGCCAAACCAGCATTTCTCAAATTTTGAGAGAGTATCTTCTCAATTTGTAAAAATTATTTTTATTTTCATTACTAGTAGTTGCAATGGTCTTCATGTTATCGTTTATGCCTGCAAAAACTTTTAAAACTGAACCCTTTGTTTCTTATGTTTCAAGAATCCTTTCAGAATTATGAATCATTTTGAGCAACTCTATATTTTTGATAGTTTATTTAGAAATACTATGCTACATCAGATATTTGAGCCAAGGTGGCGAGGAAGAAGGCTAGCTAACTTTATATGTTCTCCGTATCCAAATTTAGTCTTCTTTTAGTTACTACAGGCTTTTTAGTTGGAACCCTGTTCTCGCTTTCCAACATTGTGCCATTCTACTCGTTGAACTGTGCTTTATTTTATTTTTTACTGTTAAGAAAACTGGTTGCATACGATGTGAGTACATCCGTGATGGATGATTTTGTATATGAAGCATATAATCACGCATCTTCTTGCCCTAGGAGCATGATGGTTTGTTTTTATACGAAGTGGGAGCTTTGAGTATGCAACAAGCATGTAGTGCTACCAGCCTTGAAGTGAAAACATAATAGTTTAGCTAAACTTCAAAATTCAAATCATTTGGTTTCACAACAAGCTGTTGTTAAAGTGATTTAGATGCAACTGATGAACCGATAAAATTGCCTCCTATTTATACTCTATTTGTCGGGTAAACTGCTGCATTATTCTTCTAGTACTAAACCACAAATTAAATCCAATTTGCAGGAACAATTACCTAGTGATCTGGTCCGTGTGAATACGCTTTTTCAAAAGGCACGGGAAGCTGGCATTGATATTGAGGCAAGCTATTTATCTTAAGGACATGCTATTCTTGCATCATTCAACTCTTTTATTTATTTATTTATTTATTTTTAAATTTTTTTTTAATTTTTTTATTTTATTGGAATGAAGTACTCATCAGCAATTGGGTAGCACCTCAGTTGTAAGACGTGTCATCAGTAAGATAATCTAGCTGTATTCTACGATTTAGCGTACGAAACCTGTAAAATAGGAAAGTTAACTGCTTTAATAATGCTCATGCACGCGTGTGTATAGATACATAAAAGCATAATCATCTGACGGGTATATCTGCTATACAGTGCAGGTCAATTAGCAAAGAAGAGATGTCTGTATTAATCTTGTCGGGAAACTATATTGCAATTGCTTTAGTTGACCAATACAAGTTAAAGTATTTTCTCTCTCTTCCTACAAAAAATTACCGTTTCCTCCCGCTTGTATTATTTCATAAAATGAAGAAAAATTTTCGGTTTGAATTCGTGATTCACTTTGTTTACTTATATGGCCTTCGTGCAGTCATTCTTGGCTGGAGGACCTTTGTGTTTTGAGCTTTTGTAGCGACAGGCCTGGGTATACTGGTGAGAATTTTTGGCGGTCCCCAATTTTCAGCTCTTCATTTGCTTAAACATAAAATCGCGTGTAATATGTTATTTCAAAACATTTTCCTCAACAAAGGCGATATCTTTCTGATTTGCATTGATATTGCTTGCAGGTCACTATGTTGTCATTTGTGGCTACGATGCAGACACGGATACATTTGAGATTCGAGATCCAGCAAGTTCAAGGTTCGTTTAATTCTCATCTTTTGCGCTCCTCAAGCTTTTATAGCTTTTAAAGTTTAAACTGGGATAAAGGGTAAACACAAAAATGGAAAACATAAATATGTAGTTGTCTTCTTCAGTATGATAGGATTTTGGTCTTACCAATCTCGAGTTACATGGGTGCTTTGCTTTGAATAAATGATGAATCATTTCCAGGAAACACGAAAGGGTTACTTCAAGGTGTCTAGAAGAGGCTCGTAAATCGTTTGGCACCGATGAGGATCTACTACTGGTACGTTGGTAGATCGTTAGTAATTATTAACCTGCTCGAAGTTGAAACCCGCATTTGTCATCGTATGATAAATTACCTGATGTTTTTTGGTGCACATTTGTTTTGAGAAAGAGAATCCAAACAGCCCCTTGTCGTTCTTAACTTCACACGATTGCTGATATCCAGTGTATTGCGGCAGATTCATTTGTATTGCATAGAAGAATCAAGAATGTGTAATTTTTCTTGTATATTTATGGACATTTAGGTATATATAATAGCATGAAACAGTTATTCATACAAAACAAGTGATATATAATACTTTGTTATAGATATTCTTAAATAAATACCTTTTCATTATCAAAATCACTGACATTGACTCAAGTGGAAACAACTTTGATTTACTCCAAAGCTTTCTGTTGTAACTTGAAAGTGTTAGGTGAAACCTTCTTTGACCCTATCTAGTAAAGAATCACAAGTAAACTAACATAGGTTACTCATACTTGACCATCTCAAATCAAGAAAATTAATAAGCGGTTCTCGTTTAGAGTTTGAATTTGAAATTTCATGATTAGACTGGCCAATTAAAACGGTTGTAGTTGCCTATATGTAGATCACTCAAGAAATTGAGTAGTTTCGTCTCACATCTTATCTTACTCTATATAATAGTAAAATGTTTTTGCCATGTCATTTTCCTGCCTAAATGAAATGGCATCATTCCATGGTATAACCTTAATTGCTAGATTAATTGTGGATGGCTGAATTATTAATCACAATGAGTTTTAAATGTCTTGAGAAAAAAATAAAAAATTATTTATTTACTGTATATAGTTTAATTTATTAATTTTAAATTATGTATGTATATATATATATATATATATATATATATATATATATATATATATATATATATATATATATATATATATATATATTTATTTATTTATTTATTTATTTATTTAAATGTAAAATTTTAAAATATCATGTGATATCTAATAACACAATGCTTTATAATATATGCTAATAGTATGTTGTGATGTTTTAATATAACAACCAATTTAGTATTATAAAAAAAAAGTAACATTTCATAATTAATTTTAATGATTAATGTTTGAATTTTATCAACAATAAAAATACTTAAATTTTATACACAAATACTAGTATTTACAATGAATCCAAGTTAAAGTTGAAAGACGAAACAAAGGAAATATCATTTGAAACGCCGGACTATACACATTTAATTTCATAGGCCCTCTTTCTAATTTTGGCTTATTTGGTCACTATTAGTTATTTGACTTAGTTTAAAAATTAGTATAAATGTTTGGTTAATTAGTTTTTTTGTACTCCAAAATGTTAAAATTCAAAAAGCTACTTAAAGTAACTTTTTTAATTAACTTTTTGAGAAAAAAAAAAAAAAGATACCAAACAGCTAATTTACCAAACACGTACCTTTCTACAATCAACTAATGTTATCAACTAGTTATACCCTCTAATTAACCTAATCAGCTTACAATCATTTACCAAACAAGACCAATGAGTTTCATGATCACTCCTTTGGCATTTACATCATTACATGAAGGTAAAATAGCTCCACCTGGCCCGGGAGATCAAAGAGAAAGTAGTGATCTGCAGGAATCAATATAAGGGTGTGTTTGGTATCAATATAAGGGGTCGTTTGGTTCACGGAATGTCAAATTACCTTAGGGAATGTTAGATTGCTGGGAATGTTAGATTACTGGGAATGTTAAATTCCTGTGTTTGGTTTAAATTTGTGTATGTGATATAATCATGTTTGGTTTAGAGTTATCTTTTATACACACTATAATATCCTTAACATATTTTCATATATTTTAATAAATTTAAAAATTAAAATAAATAAATAAGATAACTGTATCATATATAATTACATGATTTTAAAATAATAACTAAAATCTTGAACTTGAGAAACAAAATTATTTTATATGCTAACATAACATAATATATATATATATATATATATATATATATATATATATATATATATATATATAATAAACTAACATAACCTTGGTTATCTTACATTACATAAGATTTTGAAGGGAATCACATTCCCTTCAAAATCCTATGTGGAGGGAATGTGACATTCCTTGGGAATGTTAGATTCCCTAAGATAATATGAACCAAACACCGGAATGTGAGCTTTGGAATGTCACATTCCCTTGGTTATGTTATATAACCTGAACCAAACGCCCCCTAAGAGTGTTTTTGGTTGATAGGTTTAGCTCTAAGGAATGGGTATCAAAGTGATTGGTATTGTTTGGTTGATAGGTTTTTAAAATACTAAAATGGGTTTCAAATACCCCCTTAATTGAAAAACTCATACCCAAATAAAATAAGAGTATCATCCCCTTTCATTCCCTTATTCCTTCTCATCCTTTTTCATTCCCTTATTCCTTCTCATCCCCTTTGATGAGTGCTTTTAGATTTTTGTTTTTATTTTTTTTTTGTTCATATTGGTGTTTTGGATGTCTTTATATTAGAATCAATTGTCTTGATTTTGTGCTCTTGTATTTTTAAAATATTTATTCCCATTATAGGATCGTACATAACCAAACAGTATTATTGATAATCATTCTCATTCCACCCTACTATCAAACATGCAAAATACTTTCACTAAAACCCAGTACCATTACCAATTATTTGATACTGATTACGATTCCGATTCTCATGTGCGAACCAAACACAAAGTATTTTCTCAATCATACATCCAAGTACTTCTAAACACAAAAAAAAAAAAAAAAAAGAGGAAACTTGTATGCTTCTCATGAGGGAATATACCTGAGATTGTCAATCTTTAAGAACTAGATAATGCACAATTGTATGCAAAATATTTTATATTTTTCAGCGCATCTTTTAGACTTGGAATTTACTCTTAAAGTTTAGATTCTTGTATTTATTAGCTTAAATCCTACAATGATTCACGATCTACTCTATTTTGAAGATAAGTGTTCTTGTTTTAATCTTATTTACATTTTTATTATTTGTTGCTTTGATATTTATGTGCTTTTAGTTTATATAATATAATGTGTGAATGTTTTGTTTGGGTTTGAATTGAGGCTTATATGATATTTTTAATGCCTATTTGATATCTATTGAAACCCTAAGCCCGTTACAGTGGGCCTATTGGGTTATAGCTTGTTCTGTATAAATTATTGTATTCTGTATCGCACTTGGATGAGAAATAGATGAAACCCTTCACACGTTCACATGGTATCAGAGCCTAAACCCTAAATAATATTTCTCCTTTCTTTCCCGCTGCTGCCGCCGCCGCCGGAGTTCATTGCCGCCGCGACTGTTTTTTGCTTTCCGACATCTGCCTGGTGGTTCTTCTCCCAAACCAAGACCACAGGCCTCACCGGAGCCTCGTCGCGAGCCTGAGCCCAAAGTTCGGTCGCTGTCTGCCACCGCACGCGCCGAGATCCGCCACTGTTTTCCGGCCAGATCACCCTCCTCCGATCTCCAATCGAGGCACCGTCACCACTGTTGGACACGTCTCGACGAGACGCTTCCGGCAGTGTTGTCCGTTTCCCTATCGCCGACCGCCGTTCTCCGACCACCGCCGCCGCCGTCGATGACCACCGGCCATAAACAGTAAACAGTGTGTTATTTTTGTTGGTAACCTCTATAGCTTCATCTTTTACCTCTTATCCCACCATTACTATGGACAAGTTGGTTGGGAGTGAAAACTACACTTCGTGGGCCGCATCTGTGAAACTCTGGTTCAAAGGTCAGGGGATGTCTGACCATCTAACAAAAAAGGTTGGGGAAATTAAAGAATCGAAGAAATTAAATTGGGAAAAGGCAGATGCGTTATTGTGCAACATGTTGTGGCAATCCATTGACCCTAAACTCTATCTCATTTACAAGTCTTATGAAACTTGTTATGATGTTTGGAATAAAGCTAAGTCACTATATACTAATGATATCCAAAGGCTATATTCCCTAATATCTAATATGCTTAATTTCCGTTCAACTGCTGATATGAGTACACATGATTTCTTGGGTCGGATTGAAGCTTTACAACAGGAGTATAATAATTTACTGCCATATCAGGAGACAACAGAAAATCATGCGAAGCAGTGTGATAGGTTCTTCATGGTGTTGACCTTGGCGGCCCTTCGGCCTGACCAGGTTCACGTTCGTGATCAGATCCTATCTAGTCCTAATGTGCCTACCTTCACTGAAACCGCTGCTAGATTGCTTCGTGTTGCCTCAGCTCCCTCAATTGAGCCTAGTGGAGAATCATCGGTTCTAGCTACTCGGGCTACGGATAGAGGACCCTCTGGACCATCTAGTGGTGGTGGTGCTCGTCGTGGTAGACGTCCTCTTTATGACTACTACCACAAAGATGGTCATACCAAAGATTGTTGTTGGAAGTTACATGGTCGACCTCCCTGTTATGCTAATCTGGTCCAGGCCACTGCATCCGAGAGTCAAACTCATGAACCAAGCTCTACTCCAATTGAGATGACCCCTAGGGAGTATGAAGAGTATCTACTCATGGGTGACCATTGGTAAAGTCTTAGACTTAGACACATTATGCAAAAGAGAAAGGTTACCGGAAATATGATCTGAAGCACCCGAGTCTAATATCCAAGATTTTGGAGTATTGGTGTGTGAAAGACAAACCAAAGATGAAGTACCAGAATTCAGTGGAGGTGTGGAAGAGTCAAGGCGGGATGCTGCTTCTGCCTCTACAGAGTCTCTTTTGCTTATTCATTGTCGTTTGGGTTATCCTAGTTTCTCTAAACTAAAACGGATGATCCCGGGTCTGTCTATTGAGTCTTTTGAATGTGAGTCGTGTCATCTTGGAAAGCAATCACATAAGTCTTTTCCAAGAAGAGTCAATAATCGGGTTGCGTCCCTCTTTGATTTAGTTCATTCAGATATATGGGGTCCTTGTCGTGTCAACTCTATTTTGGGTTTTCGTTATTTCGTAACCTTTATTGATGATTATTCTAGATGCACTTGAGTTTTCCTTATGAAAGATTGTTCTGAATTGTTTCAGATTTTTCAAACTTTTTGTTCTGAAATACAAACTCAATTTGGAAAACTCATTCGTGTTTTGCGTAGTGATAATGCTAAAGAATATCTCTCTAATCCTTTTAAGTCATATATGACATCTCGTGGTATATTGCATCAAAGGTCATGTGTTTACACACCTCAGCAGAATGGGGTGGCTGAGCGTAAGAATAGACATCTAGTAGAAATAGGTCGGACTATGTTGTTACACTCTCATGTTCACTCCCAATTCTGGGCTGATGCTATCCTTACTGCTTGTTACCCGATCTATTGCATGCCATCTTCTGCTCTTAACAATGACACCCCATATTCCATTGTGTATCCTTCTGTTGATCTTTTCCCTATTCCTCCTCATGTTTTTGGGTGTGTTTGTTTTGTTCATGACATGACTCAAGGTCGATCCAAATTATACCCTAAAGCAGTCAAGTATGTCTTTTTGGGTTATTCCCGTGTCCAAAAGGGTTATAGGTGTTATTCTCCAGCGCTCAAGCGTCACTTTGTGTCTGCAGATGTCACCTTTATTGAGTCCACACTGTTTTTACAGCCCTCATCAGGAGACGCGACCCCTATTTCTGAGGTGCTTCCCGTACCTTATCTTGAAACTCTTCCTCTTTTCCAGTCCGATGTTCCTCCAGTTCAACCGGCTGCTCCTAACCCGCCCCTTCAGGTCTATCATTGTCGTCTTCGCCCTGTAGTTCCTAAGGTTCCTGGTGACTCGCTTATGCTGTCCGATCCTCCGGCTGCGGTTCCACCACTTCCACCGCAATCTGACGCTAATCTCACTGAGGCACCTAATGCTGTTCGAAAAGGTACGCGTTCTACTCGTAACTCCCATCTTATATATAGCTTTCTGAGTTATCATCGTGTCTCTTCCCCTTACTTCGCATTCCTTTCTCACCTGTTTTCTGTGTCCATACAAATCTACTCGTGAGGCTCTCTCGGATCCAGGTTGGCGTCAAGCCATGTTAACAGAGATAGAGGCCCTCCAGTCCAGTGGCACATGGGAGTTGGTTCCTCTTCCTCCTGGTAAAACTGTTGTTGGTTATAGATGGATTTATACGGTGAAGGTGGGCCCTGATGGCGCAATTGATCGCCTTAAGGCACGACTAGTGGCAAAAGGCTATACTTAGATTTTTGGTTTGGATTATACTAATACGTTTTTCCCTATTGCTAAGATTGCTTCAGTTCGATTACTTTTGTCTTTGGCAGCCATTCATCATTGGGACTTACACTAGCTGGATATAAAGAATGCATTTCTTCATGGTGATCTTCACGAGGAGGTTTATATGGAGCAACCACTTGGGTTTGTTTCTTAGGGGGAGTCTGGTCTGGTATGTAAATTTCGCCGTTCTTTATACGGTTTAAAGCAATCTCCACGGGCTTGGTTTGAAAGGTTTAGTTCTGTGGTGTGTGAGTTTGGTATGACTAGAAGTCCGGTTAATCATTCTGTTTTCTATCGTCATTCTAATGGGAAATGCATACACCTTGTAGTATATGTGGATGCCATTATTATTACAGGGAGTGATCAAGAGGGCATATCTCAGTTGAAAGAGTATCTCTTTAGTCGGTTCCAGACCAAGGATTTGGGCAAGTTGAAATACTTTCTTGGAATTGAAGTGACTCAATCTAGCAGTGGTATTGTTATTTCTCAAATGAAGTATGCCTTGGATATTTTAGAAGAAACTGACATGTTGGACAGTAGACCGGTTGATAATTCAATGGATCCGAATGTTAAACTCCTACCAGGACATGGGGAGTCATTGCCTGACCGAGAGCAATATAGGAGATTAATTGGAAAGCTGAATTATCTCACGATCACACGACCGGATATCTCTAACGCAGTTAGTGTGTTGAGTCAGTTTCTTGAGACTCCATGTGATTTTCATTGGGATGCTGCTGTTTGTGTTCTAAGTTATATCAAGAGAGCACCAGGACAAGGCTTATTATATGGAGATAGAGGACATTCACAAGTTGTTGGGTATTGTGATGCAGATTGGGCTGGTTGCCCATTTAACAGACGCTCTACTTCAGGTTATTGTATTCTCATTGGAGGTAATCTCATATCTTGGAAAAGTAAGAAGCAGGATGTGGTTGCTAGGTCCAGTGCTGAAGCGGAATATCGAGCCATGGCACTTGTCATGTGTGAGCTTATGTGGCTTAAACACCTACTACAAGAATTGCAATGTGGCAATGTTGCCCAAATGACATTGATATGTGACAACCAAGCAGTTCTACACATCGCATCAAATCTTGTTTATCATGAAAGGACTAAACATATTGAGGTTGACTGCCACTTCATCAGAGAGAAGATTGTGTCAGGGTGCATTAAAACAAGCTTTGTCAATTCTGCAGATCAGTTAGCTGATATCTTGACAAAATCTCTTAGAGCTCCTAGAGTTGAATATATTTGTAACAAGCTTGGAGCATATGATCTATACTCTCCAGCTTAAGGGGGAGTGTTGAAACCCTAGGCCCGTTACAGTGGGCCCATTGGGTTATAGCTTGTCCTGTATAAATTATTGTATTATGTACAGCACTTGGATGAAAAATAGATGAAACCATTCACACTTTCACAATATATATCGCACAAGAGGGGTAAAACTCAATCTAGGGTTCCTTTTGTTGTGAGATAATCTTGTATTCATGTGTTAAATGTGGGGCCCAACATTGTCAACACACTCCTAGGGTCTGTTTGAAAACTTAGAAAATATTTTTTGGAAAATGATTTCTAAAAAATGAATCGTTTTCTATAAAATATTTTAATTTTCTAGTATTTGGTTGAATGTTAGAAAACTATCTTTTTCTATTTGACTCGAAGTTAAGAAATTACATTTTTTCTGTTTAGTTCATTTTCCAGAAAATGAACATACTATTTGTTATAATAATAATAATAATAATAATAATAATAATAATAATAATAATAATAATAATAATAATAATATGTTGTGATGGTGGAGAGGCGGTGGTGATGGTGTGGTGGTGGTGGTGGTGGTGGTGTTGTTGATGTTGGTGTTGGTGTTGGTGTTGGTGGTGTTGGTGGTGGTGGAGGTGTTGTTGGTAGTTGTGGTGGTGGTAGTGGTGGTGGTTGTGATGGTGTTGGTAGTGGTGGTGGTAGCCGTGGTGATGGTGGTGATGTTGATGTTGTTAGTGGTGGTGATTGTTGAGCATATAGCCATTAATGTGCAATCCAACAATAAGCTTAGGCTTTTAGTTGAGATGGAGCACATGCTTCAATTTGGTATCAGAGTCATGCCAAAGGTCATGGGCACATGCTTCAATTGTGGTGTGGTGTGGTGTGGTGTGTGGTGGTGTTGGTGGTGGTGGTTGTGATTCTCCAGATCTAACATCTTCTGGGTTTCCTAGTGGGAAACTTATGGAGAACCAGTCTCGTCGACTGGTTTCACTTCAGAAATCAGTCTGCCAGACTAGTTACCGAACCAGTCTGGGCAGAGTGGTTTTCAAACTGAATCAATTTGGCTAATTGGTTTCTTAAACTTTTTGCAATATCATTGAATTTTGTTTGTGAATTTTTTCCCTATTTTGTTTGTGAATTGTTTAAAAAAGCTTGAGTTGAATTCTTTGTTTGATTGGTGTGGAATGGAAACTGAAAAATAGTTAAAGAAATTGGGGTAGGTGTATTGACAAGAAACAAAATCCTTTATATAATAAAGCTATATGGTTTGGGAAATAATTAATATTACAATTAATGCCACAACATCCTTTATTATATATATAAAAAAACACAATATTTAAAAAATAAAATAGCTATATATTATATAATCATATAAAAAATATACTTTTGGTTTCAAAAAAATATAAAAAATATACTTTTGAAAAATAAAATAGCTATATATTATATAATCATATAAAAAATGTGTTCAATTAGAGTTTAAATTTACATATACAAAATTTGAAATTTGCTTTCCAAATGTAATTATCTTAGTTATTATTCGTATTGTAAAAATTATAATATAGATGAAATACAATTAAAAATAAATCAATGTAATTATATAAATTCTCTCTATAAGTTTATTTGAATATGCACATAATTAGACATCATTTATTATAAAAGAATAAAAAAAAAAGCACAACATTTAAAAAATAAAATAGCTAAATATTATATAATCATATAAAAAATATACTTTTGGTTTCAAAAAAAATATAAAAAATATACTTTTTAAAAATAAAATAGCTATATATTATATAATCATATAAAAAATGTGTTCAATTAGAGTTCAAATTTACACATACAAAATTTGAAATTTGCTTTCCAAATGTAATTATCTTAGTTATTATTCGTATTGTGAAAATTATAATATAGATGAAATACAATTAAAAATAAATCAATGTAATTATGTAAATTCTCTCTATAAGTTTATTTGAATATGCACATAATTAGAGATTATATTAATCATACGAAATTATAATTTTAATATTAATTTTAATTTTAATTTTAATTGTGATTTTGTATTCTATAAAAGTAATAAATACTTGACCAATGGAAGCTCAAAAATATTATTATATTAAATAATTTAAAATATTTTAGTTTTTCTATTTTTATTTATATTTATAATAACATAATTTTTCCCTTGCATCGCGCGGGTGAATTACTAGTTGAATAAAGAAATGCTTGTGAAAAATGAGAAAAAATTGGAAAAACGATTGTACAAGGGAAATTTGTATGGTTAATGCTTGTGATTACAACTTTACTAGGTAAAATTTTCTTGCAATTGTTCTAACTTTCCTTGGTAAAATTTGTTTACTGTGTAGACAATTGAATGTTATGTTATATTTTCAATTGAATGTTAAACAATTATTTATTGTGCAGTTTTAGTGGGTAAAAATTTACTGGTAATGTTTGTTTTTGAGTTCAATATATGTTATATTTCCATCACAATAATCCAATCAAATAGAAAAAATGGTAAAATAATTGTAAGTTGTATTTGAACTCAACAGAATGGCAAAATGACTGTAAAATATCATATTAGTGAAATGTTGAAAGCACCATATTATGTTTATCCTTGCACTAGCATCTAGTTTTCTATAATGCTTCAAGATTTTTTAAAAGTTGAACTTCATGGGTGGCTTAGCAATTTTCTAAAAATACATTTTAAGCATCATTCCTTTATGAGTTGTACTCTAATTGGTATGGACATGCCTTGCACAATTCACGTGTTCAATTCCATGAAACAAATCTTGAATGCAATATGCAATATAAAGTATTCTAGTAAGTAGTATGCAAAATTTCAGAATGCATAATGCAGTATGTATTTCAGTAAACAGTATCATGCTTGATGAGTGTTGTATCATGCTTTCTTAATATCACAACTGAGTCCTTAAAAGCTTTGACTTACTATTACAAATCTGCAATATGATATAAACTTGAATAGAAGAACCATTTGACTATGTTGTCATATTTTTTTTAAAATTTATTTTTATTTGTATAGATGGATAGAAATCATGTGCATGCAACTGTTATTGGGTGCAGCAAGTGCTATCCTAGCTATTGGAGTTCTTCCATTGCAACTGATGGTTTTTGGGTTTTCGGGCCCAAGGAGGTCCAACACAACCTTTAGCTGGAGGATACACCTTTCAATAAAAAGCTTGCTAAAAATAATATGAGCTCGATGATTTTGACGTGGAAACCGAAAGGAAAACCACGGGCCTTTTTGGGCGGTGCCAAGCCTAACTCCACTATGTATTTTGTAGGTGTCTTTGTAAATGCTTGTAGGGCTATTCTCTACACAAAGTGTTGTGTTTCTAATAATATAGCAATAATAATAGAAAGAAGAGTGATGGAATGGTGTGGAAGAGTCCTTCCATGTGTATGGATGAGTGGTGGAGCCTTCTTGGTATATTGTGGAATGAGGCCTTCGTGGGAGAGTAGTCGTAGGAGAGTGATAGTAGTCTTCAAGTGTGTAGGAAGAGTGCTTGGGAGAGTCCTCCCATGTGTGTATGAGTGAGTGGCCCCTTTCTTCTTGTCTTCCCCTCCTTTTTATAGCTAGCCCATCCCAAAAGTGTCTGTTGGACATTTAGTAGGGTAGTGATGGGTGATAATTAGGGGTTATGGATAATAATAATAATGGGGTAATAAGATGGGGTAATAAGTGGGAGGTTAGGAATGGTGGGGTAGTAAATAGGACTTTAAGGGTAGATAATTAGGAATTTAATAGGGGCTAACGGCTAGTTTTAGGCCGACCCTCTACCCGTGCCGATCCCACACTCGCGCCGACTCCCGGGTCGAGCCGACTCCTCGGCTTGGCCCGTATCTCTTTTGGGCTTACTCCATTTTCCTCTTGGGCTTTGCTTCTTCTTCTTGGGCTTGATCTCTTTTCTTCTTGGGCCCCGAGCCCACGGGGTTCACACCCCATCAACTAGTCCCTCACTTTTCTATGTCTCGCGCTTAGCAGGGCATGGAAAAGTATACTGTCTTGCCTCAAAATTTCCTTTATTAGCCCCCTCGATTTTTGCCGACTCTTTATTCAACATTCTACACGACTCCATCCTCATGACTTCTCTTTGTTTGCCGTATGACCGACTGCTTCAGCGGATGTGACCTTCTGGCTCTGAGCCCCTTTTTCTCCGGCTGTAACTTTTTCTTTCTTTAATAAACTTCTAAGGGTTCGGACCCTCAATTCCTTCTTTATTCGCCGAGTCCCTCAGTCGAGGCGACTCTTCGGTGGTAGCTTCTTTTTCCTCTAAGAAATGCCTAGGGTCGGAACCCTTGTCTCTTGTCTCTTTTCTTTAGAAACGTCTAAGAGTCGGAACCCTTGTTTCTTTTCTCTTTTCTTCTAGAAACGTCTAAGGGTCGGAACCCTTGTTTCTTTTCTCTTTCCTCGCCGAGTCCCTCAGTCGAGGCGACCCCTGTAGGATTTTCCTCGGAAACGTCTAAGGGTCAGCGCCCTTGTTTCCTATCTTTTCTCGCCGAGTCCCTCAGTCGAGGCGACCCTTTAGGCTTTTCCTTTTCTCAGAAACAGTTTAGGGTCAGTGCCCCATTGTTTCTTTATATACTCGCCAAGTCCCTCAGTCGAGGCGACTCCTTTTGGCTTTTTCTCGGAAACGACTAAGGGTCTGGGCCCTTGTTCCCTATCTTTTCTCGCCGAGTCCCTCAGTCGAGGCGACCCTTTAGGCTTTTTCTTTTCTCAGAAACAGTTTAGGGTC